TCCAGTCAGCGAAAACGGGAACCCCCACCAGCACGAGAACGCCCATTTGTGGCTGCGGTTGGATGATATTGAATTTTTTCCATTGTCAAATGGTGTGTAAGATCTTTAATCAAAACTAAACCTTCCACAAAGAGGGAAATAGAAAAATCAATAAATATAATAAATAAATAAAACAGACAAACACAAAACAAAAAAGAGCATCATATAATAAATCAAGCTGGTGATCAGTAGTAATTTAATGAGCACTTACTATGGATATACATGTCAAACATAAATCAGCAGCTTGCTGTTTCCTTAATATTAAAGTAAATAAATAAAAGGAAATAAATTTGCCCAGTTGCTGTATCACAAACAAGAAAAAAAACGCATGACATACTGACCAGCCAAAGTTGCATGAATAGTGGCCTGTGCAACACCCTGGGCGGGCAGGGGGGTAATCCGGGAATTTGAAATTAGCAGTCCCTTTAAACTGGAGAGGCCCAAACTTCCTGGCACGACGAAGGACCTCCACAAAGTCTTGATAATAATGTACCTTTGCCACAATGACACAAGGCCTATCATCTGATTTCCTTGCCTGGAGACCCCTGTGTAATTGATCGATTTCAGTTCATCATATAGTATTGTTGTGATCCAGAACAAACAACTCCAGACAAATAGTCATATTAACTTCTCACTAACAGTACTTTAGGTTAGTTCATTTTTTTTCTTTTGCATTATAAATTATAAATGTAATTTAACTGCCCAAAAAAGGGCAGTTATAAAATGCTAGTTGACTTGGGGGCTTCTTGACTGATTATCCATCCAATCCCTCTGGTCTCATCGCAACTTCAGCATTACATCATCACAACGAACAGCACGTGAATCCGTCCAATCTCCGTCTCCTTCCTCTGTCCTCACTTTGTCCTTGACTATTTCTCAGTGAACCAGAGCACTCCCACAGGATATATATATACATTGATAAACCTCGTTCTGAGGGGTGAGGAGGTGGTATTGCTGCCATCTACAGAAAGGACATTGAAACAACCTTTGAACCCCTTGCCTTCAAACTCTCTGGTCCCACTCACCTGGTCACAGCTGTTAACTACCACCCTACCACCCCACATTTCTTCCTGACCCAACTCTGTGCCATCTCACCCTTTGTTCTCCTCATAGGTGACTCGGCGGGTCCCTTCCCTAATGTCTGATAATCCCTCCCATCTTGTCAACTATTACATTAAAACACTGTCCTCTTGTCTCGACCAGCTTTCTCACATTAAAACTTCTCAAGCCCCGTGACAACTCCTCCGGTTCCTTCACAGTAGACAAGTGCAACTCCTTCCTTTCATTTTACCAAACAATAATCAATACAATCTACAGCAACATCACCACCTCCCCTGCCCTCTTCAACTCCCCACCTAACTGCCCTTCTCTTACCACTCAACCCATCTCAGTTTTCCCCTGTTTACCTCATGGAGCTGTCCGACTTCATGGTAGGAATGAAAAGCTCCACTTACACCCTGGATCCCATCCCAACCAATCTTTTTAAGGAATGTCTTCCAGTCATCTCCTCACTCCCAACTCCTCCTTCAGCACGGGTTCTGTCCCCCAAACACTCAAACTAGCTGCTGTCACCCCCATCCTCAAAATACCTGGTCTTAACCCCCACACCATGAGAAATTTCTGGTCTGTTAAAAATACTTTGTCATTGCCTCCCAACTCAAAACCCACCTAGTTTCCAATAACCTGTTTGAACCATTTCAATCCGCTTTCCACAAACAACACAGCACAGAAACCTCTCAAAGTCACCAGTGACCTTCTACTCTCCTCAGACTGGTCACCTCAACATTCTCATCCTAGTGAACCTCACTACAGCTTTTGACATTATAAGCCACACCATTCTTCTCTCCCGCTTTGAGTCCTTCCTCAACAGGGAGAAAAGAATGGAGTGTGAACGGCAGCAACCTCTCCTTTGAATTCCATTGTAATTGAAGGAATTCTTCTTTTTCTTCTTTTTCCTCCCAAACGAACACATTTTTGGACGCTTTCCCACACTCGAAAACTCATGAAACACGGCGAACATGTTAGTTGTGGTGAAAAATGTTGTATTCTATGCGTCGCTTTTGGGTCGGCCACTAGGTGGCGCTACTATCAAGAAAAGTGCATTTAGGCTAATAACTCCCGCATCGTTTGTTGCACGTTCAAAACCTTATATCCACGAGGTCGTTGAATGGAGCTGAATCTCCCCATTTAGGTCACACCCATTTCTGCTTAAAAAGTTTTTCCGCAAGAGCACGAAATGTCCATAAACTACTTTTTCGTGTTACTCCTATACACTTTGTCCGATTTCCACGAAATTTTTCACATAGCATCTGGGGACCGTCCTGGCAAAAAAGTCATTTGAAGAATTTTGATATTTAAAAAAATAAGCCTGTTATAAAATTAGCACTTCCTGTAGATTTTTCATCAAAACAGGAAGTGGAGCATTTCTCCACATTGGTATGTCCAATTGACACCAAGCTTGGGTCCATAGTTCCCCATTTCTGACTTACGCATCGTGCACAATTTCAGGTCATTGCCACAAAGTGGCAAATTTTTCGCCTTGTATTTGAACAAACTTTCCCTCGGGAATTTATCGGATCTACATCAAAATTGGCCAGTACAGTCAAAAAACATTGCTGATTTAAAGTTGTGCTATTTGTTACTGTACATTGAATGGCGTGAATGTGGCATGCTGTCAAAATCGGCCACGTTGAATTTCCCGGTGATTTTCAGCATTTTCTTGCGTTGTATTTGAACAAACTCCTAGAGAATTTATCGGCTCTGCTTCAAATTTGGTCAGTACACGCAAAATATGTTGCTGATTAAAGGTTGTGCTATTTGTGACTGTACATTGAAGGGTGTGTCAGTGGTGTACTGTCAAAGTTGGCCAGGTTGAATCATATGTCAACTGTGCTGCCCTTTCCGGTATTTCGCAGATTTTCAGCGGTTTTTTGCACTGTATTTGAACGAACTCCTAATAGGGAACTTATAATATTAAAATTGGTCAGTACAGTCAAAAAATAGTGCTGATTAAAAGTTGTGCTATTTGCGACTGTACGTTGAAGGGCGTGTCTGTGGCGTGCCATCAAAGTTGGCCATTTTGAATTCCGTGGTCATTTTCTGTGAATTTCTTGCACGTGTGATTAAAACAAAACTTGGTACGATGATTGCCCATGGCTTCCTGAGGCTCGCTAAAAAATGTGTCAACAATGTCAACAAAGTCAAATGTGTCTGGTGGCAGGTTACATAACTGTGCGAAGTTAAAACGGAATGTCAAAACTGTGATGCCATTTCCGACATGGCGCTGAATTTCCACGTTTCACAGTGAAGAGTCTCGCTATGAAAGCCTAAGTCTTTTGCACAGTGTCTGAAACTCGTGACAAAGTAGAGCAGTCTACCTCAGCTTCTGGCGATGAGGCCTTGGGAGTGGGGCGACGTGGCGTTATGTGGCTGCAGTGGGCAACCGCCGTGCAGGCCCCGATGTAGGTTGATGGCGAGGTCCCGCCCAACGCTGCTTGCAGCTTTAATTAGGGACCGAGCCAGCGACCGCTGGAGGTCCCTATTGAAACTGCTATGTTTCTTCTTACCTATTAATATTTAGCCGGCCTTTTGAGCTGCATTTTTGAGCAGCCGTGAACATATAGCGAAAATTCAATTTTTATTTGACAAAGTTGTCAGGCCTGGTGAAAAATTTGATATTCTATGGCGTCGCTTTCGGTTCTGCCAAACTAAAAAAAAGGATGGGCTACTAATGTGAGAAAAGTAATTTTGACTTTTTGTTAAAGCTTAATAAAACTTCTGGCATAGTTTGTCCGCACATTCCAAGAAACCTTTAAATATCCACGCGTTCCCAGGTGAATGGAGCTGAATCTCCATAATAAAGCCCGCCACTTCCGCCTATGAAATTTTTTTTTTTCATTAGAGCGCGCGAAAAAATGTCATGTAAAATTACTTTTTCGTGTTCGCTCTACAACCTTTGTCCTGAATTCGGCACCGAAATTTTTCAAAAAACGTAAAAGCAATCTGGAGAAAAAATGCCCTGAACAAAAAAACGTAATTTGAATATTTTTAGAAAAAATTTTAAAAAAAAAATAAGAAAAACGGCTGGATAAAGACTTCCGCTGTAGATTTTTTCGTCAAAAAAAGGAAAAGTGTACCAATTTTCTCAAACATCGGTAATGTCGCGAATTGAACACCAAGCTTGAGTCCCGTAAAAAACTTCCTTGTGTCTTCTTACGCATCGTGCACAAAAATAAATCAGGGGCCAATCGGCCAAAAAAAACCAAAGGTGGCGCTCTTTAAAAATGAAGGGAAAAAAAGTTTATATTCCGCATCCGGCGGCGTGTGATTAAAACGG